GGGGGGGGTTGTAGGGGGGGGGGAGGGGTTCCAGAGACTCAACTGGTTTGTCAGGTTCACAGGGGTCGGCCCTCTCTTCTTCTCTTTCCCACCGTCGTCGTCGGTAACGTACTCCGCCTCCATTGCCGTGTGCAGCTCCCCGGTCCCACGCTCGGACCCCCGCTTGACGGAGTAGGTCACCTGTCACACAAAAGGCACGTTCCAGGCGCGATCCGGGAGAGAGAAGCCATGGAACTTGTTCACGACCGTAGATGTACCATTGATCAACGTCGCGATAGTCTGTCTGAAAACGACGTTATGTTTGAACAGCAGCGAGCAACGCCAGGAGGTTAAGGGCGACAACTAGAGACGTTGCTTCTTTCGCCCAGCGAGTTCAGACCCCCGGAATACAGCCACGAGTCTACCTCCCAAACTATCACGGCATCAAAGTCGCGGAGCGACCCTCTTGGAATCGAACGAATCGCTCCCGCGTCGGAGGGTGTCATAACCTGACATTAGTGGAGGTAGTGAAAAACAGCAGTAGCGAGGAGTGAAAGACCGACCCAATGGACAGCCCGAAACAAACATTCGGGTTTGTAAGACTCCAAAAAAACGAAAACAGTTTAGGTGCTGTAAAAACCCACTCTTGTTGTTGTTTTTCTTCTTGCAAGGTCAGCAGCAACACGTGAGTGCCCACTGACTGACCTTTGTAGCAAGCGCACCCGGAAAACCCCCTTCCCCGTCCGGGCTGTCGTACTCGAACTTAACGCCGACGCCGTCAGAGGTGTGGAAAACTTCGTGCCGCCAGACCGCCTGCATTAGGGCGCAGGAGAAACAAACCCAGGGAACAAAAAAACGGCATAACTTCTTGTGGGAAGTGAGTTGACAAAAAGCAGAGCCAAACTTTCGGACGCCGAGGGATTTGAACCTACGGTAGCCACCAACCCTTCAAATTTCAAAAGTGGTGCCACAACCTCGGTATCGTGGGTATTGACGAGAGCTTGTCGCTGCCAAACACACCTGCACGCACAGCAAAGGGCGGCGGGGGGGGGGGGGTTACTTGCTGGAGAGAACCAGGTAGGTACCCTCCAAGAGTGGAACACCTTTTTAAATAGGGCTGGTCCACTTTGGTTATCCGGTTTAGTTGGTCGAGAGGTTATTGACCAAGCCGTGCCCGGGTCGTGTCCGGTGCCAGTTTCACGTCGACGTCCTCGCGGTGCCTGGCCGGCTGGACCGCAAACACGTCTCCCAACACCACGCGAGCTCGCTCACCGAGGAAGAAAAATTGAAAAAACTCAGAAAAAAGCGGCATGCGTTTCATTCACACACGAGAGCAACAAACGCACACACGGCGACAGAAGACGTCTGAGCGATCGATGAGCAACGCCAACAAATGCTCCTTAAGGTGCGTGCCCACCGTACGCTGCGGAAGATCTTACCCGCGCGGCGTACCAGACGATTAACCCCCGCCCCGGTACAGTGGCCAGAATGTTACTGTTCGACAGCAACCTGGGGGTACGCACGATGCAAATCTGCACACCTTGTCGAACCCTTTGGCGCCGCCGTGCAGGCAGTGGGGTCCGTTGTTGGCGTCCACCGAAATCACCTCGCCATCCACTGAGAAAATCCGGAAGAATAACAAGGCACGCGCGCGAGGGGATGGAGGGGGTAGGTAAGGAGGACGCCACGGGCCCAAGAAAACAAACGAAAGGGTGGCTCATGCTTGAATTCCTACTTTTGGTGGTGTTGGTGCTGGTGCTCTTGCGGAGCCTCTGCAGATCGAAAAACACATGGGAAGAAACCGTGAGAGCTCCTGCAGTGAACGACTTTCCCGTTGACAGTGGGGACACACGTTGCGTGCGGGGGGAACGAAACAAACGAGATTGAAGTCAACTGTGCGCTGCCGGCACACTCGTCATGTAACCATCCAACGCGGCGGCGGAGACTCCACTGCATCTGTTGCCGGGAGCTGATATTCCGCCACGACTTTCTCTGTTCGGAACGCAGTAAGCCTCGAAACCAACGTTGACAACACACACGCTTGACATTGGTCAGCCTGTAAACGTGACCGACGCTAAAAAAAACGCGTGCAGATCCAAGCGATAAACCCCTAATAAAACGGAGAAGAACAGCGGGGCCGTGATGGGGGCTGCTGCAATGGAAAGCAGCAGTAACCAGAAGAGTTTGTGCGGGATAGTGCACTATCAGACCCACCCGAAAACGAGGCTCCCACGATGCGGTTGCAGACTCGTCCGACCGTTGAGCCGTAGTAGGCGTCTCCGGCCACCACCTCATCCAACGTGTCGTGCTGCAGAGTCACCTGCGGGTACGCAAAGCAAACGAGAGTAGTTAGGGTCGGCATCCCGCTTGATCTAAGAGCGTGCTCAGGGGGAGGGGGTGACCTCCAGCTGTTGGTCGGGCATTTGACCACCGACCTAGCGCCATAAGAACCAACCAAGTGGCTCCGCCCTCCGGACGAGGCGCCACACGGTTTTGCTCGGGAACGAGATACGCGGACACGCCAGGCGGTTTATCTCTTGTCGGCATGCGCTGCATATGAATTCCTGTGATGCCAGTTGTTCAGAGCTTCGCACGATCAACACAATTACGGATGGATGTTACAGGGGGTATCTTCCTAAAGCCGAGCGTTTTTCGCCGGATCGAAGCGAGGCCGAAGGGGCTCCGTGGGAGCGTGCGTGTATCCCCGGGTTGGGATTCATGTCCACACTTGGGCATTCGTTGTGCCTCGACCTAAATCTCCTGCAGCACGCTGAAAGCAACGGTACAGGGTAAATAAAGAACCCTGCCGTTCAATTTCAACAGAGCTTGGACAATGAAAAAGCCCACCGGCACACAACACACGAGACAAGTCGAGCGGAGTATTACCGCTTACCTCCTCTATTGCGCCATCCTTGTCCCCGGAACGCACCGACAGTAGAGTTGCCCCGTACGTGGTGAAGCTTACACCGAAGCCTTCGGTCGTGTCGAAGTCAATGCGGTGAACCTGACGGGAAAATACGCACGAAGTCTGAGTTCATGGATGCTCTCGAGCTCCTCGTATGCCCCCTGCCTGTTGCCCGCCGATCGCACCGGACATCCGGCTCGTACCGGAGCGCCTGGCTGGTACAGCTCTATCTTTGGCCGGTGCGCAAGCGAACGGATGTCTAATCCAACCGCATACTCACTAACTCATCTCGCGTGATGAGCACACTTTGTGGGCCTCAAAGTGACTGACCGCGGCGCATGAACCGGTTTGAGGGCGGTGGAAGGCACGCGACCTGCTCGATAAGCAAGACCTCCGAAACGCTGTCTTACCTCTTGTCCGTTCACCGTGCCCCAGACCCTGCTCGAAGCCGAAACGCCGCCGTTGTTCATGCTGCCCAGGCCAGACGCCGAAAAGTCCGTCCATACGTACATAACATGCAGGCGTAGGTAAGAAGCAACGGGCCAATAGTATTTGCACAATATCATAGTGTAACCCAGTCTCACGGGCTTGTATGCAGTAATTTCGAATTCTACATCTGTTCGGTACGTCCAAGTTTGGCAGCACTGGGAGGGGGACACAGCAGTAGGGGAGGAGTACTGTTGTTTCTATTTATTGGTCTGTGCTTTACCCAATTAACGAGTGATTAGGTGACATGTGTTGTCACGCCACAACAAGTATGCTGTTGTTGCTGCTCCAAGGCCGGATTAACCTCTCCTCCAAATCCCGTTTGTTTTTTTTGTCTGGGGTTGCAATCCATAGTCTACCTTACATTACACAAGAAATCACCCCCCCCGGACAGATTTTCAAAGCTTGATTGCTGCACAGCAAAAAATGTGGAGGTACCGAAAAAAGCCGGCCTTGGCACCGTCTCTTCGAGAGCTTCAGAAAACGGGATCGTTTGAATTAGGCATCCTCTTCGTCGTGGAGGTTTGAAAATCGGTGCCGCGGGTGTGCTATCTTACGTCACCGACAGCGGTACTCCTGTCAACATGCAATTTGGTCAATGTGACAATACATGCAGTTGTTAAGCCGGAGGTCACGCGTGGTCACAGAGAGAGGCAAAAAGAGAGAACCGGGATGAGGCGGAGAGGGAGGGAGCAAGCAACAGGCAACAATAGAGTAGGGCTGGGGCAGGGCAGAGCACAACAGAGCAGGAAACGTTTTTTGTTGTCCTTCATACTTCGTATAACAGAACAAATCCATCTCTATCTACATAAAAGAAAATAGTTTTAAACCTAGATTAGCAATGAACCCATAGCACCTGCGGAGGCTACCTGTATTTCCACGATTTCCCGTGCAGCACACAGCGAAGGTGCAGGAGGAAGGTGTTGGGTAGTTGGTTCATCGAGTGCACTGTTGGTGGCACCCTCACCGGGTTTTTGTGGAACAAGCAAATTTCGGGGTACAGCAGGGGGGCTTACCGTATATAAGGCCGCATTAACAAGGCCGCCTGCCCGAAATAAGGCGGGTGAAATCGCTTGGCACAGACTTTGCCCTGTATAAAGCTGATGGCGGCCTTTAAGAGGGCATGCCGTCTATGAGGCCGGTTATGGTCTCCTGCCTGCCAATAAGGCCGGTCTCCGAAGAAGTCACCCTGGTTTCGCCACATTCTACACCCTCTCTCCTGCACAGCCTCGCGGAGCTAGCAGCACGTCCCAAAGCTCCCAGCGAAGCACTACGGTACCCCTACCGAGACACATGCCCTGTGCAGCGGGTGAGCTGTGCAGTTTGCGAGACCGAACACCCATACAGTACCCCCTAACGGCCAGGAATTGAATGTCGGGGAGGGTGTGATGGATGCCTGCACGCCATATGTGGTGATCAAGAGGCCGCTATCTTTCTGCAGAGGGCCAGTAAGATGGCAATGATCGCAGCGCATGCCGCACTGCCCACGCGACAGGCGGACTTGAGGGAATTGTTGTAGATGTGATGAGCGCATGGGAGGCGTCTTGGTAGCGTTTGTAGCGTTTTTTGCGTCGATGGTGGTCTCGTATTGTTTCAGTAGGTCTTGTCAGGATTGGGCAATCTATGCCGTTACATGCGCCGTTTGAGTCGTTTCTCGGAAGTATGGCAGGATGAACGCTTGTCGGTTGTAACTTTGGGGTTGCAAAACAACACCCAAGGGGTGTACGACAACTTGATGGACAATTGCCTACCCGTGTTTGATATTTGAGTGGGGGCGTATTTTAGGGCGGAGGTACAAACTTCCGCGTGTCGGCTTAGCCGTTGAATGAATGCGTTGTTTGTCGCTTGACCTGTTTTCCCTACCTCAGGTGTTCGCCTCTTCGGTTACATAAATGCGCACGGACTTGTTGTTTTCCTTTCTTTTTCTGCGAAACGGGGGGGGCCTGCCTGATGTCTATTTTCTACATGGACCATGGTATTTCTTCGTTCATTACATTAATTCATGTTTGTCTGCCGGGACTACAATAATTTCTTACCGGTTGGATATGTACCTGAGAGACGAAGAAAGGTTGGATAGGAAGGAGGGATAAAATGAACGTGGTACAACAAGCAAAAAGTACGGATTCAAAGTGCATCATCCGCTTCGTATGGCCTACAAGTAGGCGCACCGGTACCGGCCTTACACAGGACCGGCATCAAAGGCCGGGTACCCTCTATAAGGCCGGTTTTGTCCCGTGGAACTATGCGAAGGCCGGTTTAATCCCGTGGAACTATGCGGCCTTATATTGGGCCCCCTACATGTGTTACGGGAGAACATTTTTACTTCCTCCATGTTCTGACCGGGTCAGCTCGACCGGCGGGTGGTGCAGCCGAGGCATGATATCTATGGCATGGTGTGGCAGGTTTACGTGGAATACAGAGGATGTGACGACCTCAAATATGGTTGGCTGGTACATGTAGCACGGACCATGTTGGTGGCAGTGCGTGCTGTGTCTTTGGGGCAGGGTGGGAGTGTGGTGTTGACACACAGCTTCAGCAATCCACAACGGTGTGTTGTGCTTGAATGTATGTAAAACAATGTGTAGTCTGTGAGACTCTGTATGATACTCCTGTAGCTGGCAGGTACTCCCTGCCTCCTTGTGTGGTCGTACAGTAGTATCACCGTGATGACGACATGCGTCGTAGGAGAGCGTCAGCAGATGAACGGCAGCTGTAGATTGGGCATGGGTGCATGCCGGGTTTACGACTTGTGCTGGAGCCCATCTACATTCTAGCTACATGATGTCCATACAACATTTAGTTTACAGCAGTAGTACGTGAAGTTCGTGTGAGGTGAGGCCGTATCGCACCTGGGAGGCAGTAGAGATCCGCGTTGGAAAATCGGTACAGCCTTGACACTGAAGAGGTTATGCAGGGCAAGCTGTACAACACAGGGAGGTGGGCAGCAAGCGGCGGGCGCTAGAGAGCTAGAGGGCGGGTTGGTTTGTTTCGCCGCAATTTGTGCGGAGATCCTTGTTTTCGGAGATTCTCGATTCCGCCGCGTGGTATGTATACAGAACACAGAACAGCTGATACAGAACCAAACGTCGGGCCGAGGTGTCGATGCTCAAGGCTCTGACTTCATCGCCACTGCCGTCGAGCACAGGTAATTGTATACAGTGTGGTGGAGGATCCACCGCTCTATGTTTCTTTGACCTACAGCTGCAGTCTACTGCTGTAGTAGCTAAAGCAGTGCTGCTGCAGCGTACTACTTCAGCAGCCATAATACTTGCATTCCTACAGCAGCAG